TAGATTTGTGATCCTATCCCGCGCGGGATTCGAATCACGCGCGTGATCCGCGCGTGACGCGCGGGATTTTTGAAAAAGCTGCGATTTGCCCATCTCTAATTGTGGGTATAAATGAGGCAACCCGTTGTGAATTTACTTCGCGAATTATCTATAAAATTGCATCGATGTTTGGTGGTATTGTAAAAGTTTATCCTCAATATGAGGTATCTGGAAGCCATGGCAAGGGACCAATCGACTGGGCGATCAAGGTGGAAGATACAATTATCTCCGTGACTGAGGCAAAAAGAGAAAACATTGATCAAGGTATCGCTCAAAGTACCGTCCAAGCCCACGCATCCCTACAACGAAATAGGAAAAGGCGTAGTTATGAGGAAGCTGATATGTATGGAGATGTAATGTACGGCATTGTCACAACCGGTAGGGCTCATGACACCATCTTGTTGGGTGTTGAGGCAGAATTAGTTAAGCACTACTTTTAATCTTGATGTTTCTAATATTAGGAGTCGATTGGATAATAACCAAAATCGTCTTAAGTAATGAGAACGATAATGAGAATGGGGATGTTCAAGTTTATTGGAGTTCCAAGTCACCTGTGCACTACCTATCAATAAGCGATCATTAACTCATGATGACCTGATACAACCTACTGTATTAGTGATTTATTAGAACAAATTAAGTGGGTTTATGATCTACAAATTGAATCGCAAAAACGGCAACGCTAGAGATGGGCAAGCGCGGGATTCGTCACGTGATGCGTAAGATAATTCGGGCCAATACCATAATTCCGGCCGAAATTTACTGAAATTCTGGTAACATATCCCGAATCCCGCGCGTCACGCGCGGGATTTTTAAAAAAATTGCGATTTGCCCATCTCTAGGCAATGCACGGGTTAGGAAATACAGATTTTGCGAGTGCATTTATTCGCCGACAAATGGTATATTATCTTGTAATTCTTAATATTGCAATTTTTTATAACAATAAAGCTGGCCTGGTGGCCGATTTCACATAAATAATCAGTTTATTTGTATGTGTATTTCGTGAATTTATTTTATTGTGTTATTATCGATGTACATTACTCGCATATGATCGAGAATTTGTTTGGTAAACTTGAATGACCTGAGGTCTGTGAAATTTGAACGACCCGAGGTCTGCGAAATTTCTTGACAATTTGATTTTTGTTTAAACTCGAAAATTTAAATAAATAATATCTTATATGAAACAATGGCAAATATACAATTCAAAATTAATTCGTTAGAAGAACAGAATTCCAAGCTTATTGTAGAGATTACTGAACTTAAAAAGAAGTATGCTGGGTTGAGGCTGAGAATATCGAAGTTAAAGCTGAGAATGTAAAGTTAAGGTGGTTCATAAAAGAGAATACTGAGCTCAAAACCAGAATTGAGGAGTTAGAGAAAAATAGGATAGATACTACCACTGAAAATGCTGAACTTAAAGCTAGAGTTGCAAAATTAGAACAGAATTTTGATCATCAGCTAGAAGATGGTAATAATTCTTCTGAGAACATTGTTAATATACCCAACTCTGTTATAAATTAGTGCATTGATATTAACTCCAAATCGTTAGAGGATAAAGAGATGAACAATTTCTTAGACAAGAAAAACAAGGCAAAGGTTTGTAATGAGATAAGACAACATAATAAGGAAAGGAAATTTCTACGTGAATCAGATAAAAACCAGTCCCAGGACTTATCTCCAGTTAATCATAATATTTTATCAGATATATTATCAATACTAAAACAATTAATGACCAGGATTTATGTAAATAGAAGAAGAGAGAAGCTTTAATACAGGAAATATCACTCGAAAAAAATCATATAAATGAAAATTTATCTTCAGATCAAAAAAGCGCATGTATCACAAATGCAGAAGCATCCTCACTTTGTGAGACTTCAGATAACTGCAAAAGCAGGCCTTATAGGGCTAAAAATATCATTAACTTATATCAAAATGCATGCAATGCTAAAGAAAGTGCAATGAAAGCCAATCAGGAAGAAATATTATATTGGCATTTGTATACTAAAGAATTCAAAGATTTGGTTAAATATTTTATGACCAAATATAATATTGGTAAGAAAAAAGCAAAAGGCCTGGTCTACGACTTTATTATAGAACAACTTCCTAATACTAAACAGGGAAATTTATGTAAGCAAACTCAGAGAGCTATAAAAATCTTTAATTTATTTGAAAAAATAGAAACAGATAAGATTCAATATATTAAAACTTATAGTGCGAATTCTATTTCAAAATTTACTAATGAAGAACTTCAAAAGGTTATTGACTATTTCTCTAGCAATTATGACAATTCTTCCATGGAAATTTTGACAACCTCGGGTCTTTCAAATCATGTGACTGAAATTTCTAAATCTAGTTTAGAAAGTATATCTACTGAATTTCAAGTTTCCGATTCATCAAGCTCTGAACCATCTCAAGAAAATGATCAAGATGAGTCAAAGACTCGAAGCTCTGCTTTTTCAGAATTACCAAAAGCTAAGGTAAATATATCTACTAAAGAAACAGAGTCTCGAGTCTCTGACTCATCTATTTCTACTAATTCAGAAACTGAGGTAAGTATGCCACCTATATCCCAGGTAAATGTATCTAACAAATCCTGACCTTCAATTTCTGTTTTACCTGGTAATCTCGAAAAAAAGTGAGCTCATATTATTAAAATGGTATTGGAGCAGTTTCCTTATTTAACTTTGAAATATAGTAATAAGTACAATAACTATTTTAATTGTCCAAAAACCTGTTTTATATGTAATTAAGAGTATAAAAGAGATGATGTAAAAAGTGAGTGGGAGAGTGGTAATTATGTCAATACAAAAACATATCATCTTACATGTTGAGAAAATAAATATCAGAATTCAATCCAAATAGTGACTGTAAAAGCATAAGTTAATAAGAAAGCTCTATTATTTTCACCAATTAATAATTGCAAAAATCACGTAAAAATAAAAAATTGGGTGCCTAGCAGACCCCCCTTCTTTATTTAATAAAAATTGTTGCTGAAACAACAATATACAAACAAAAAAAATTATATTTATTTTTTTATACTATTCAATTTCACCTCTATTATATCTCTCTTGATCACTACAATCACCACTAGCGCCATCTTTATACTACATATAATTGTCCAAATCATGCTCCTTATAGTCTGGATCATCTAATTAATATACAGAATTAATCTATATTTTATTTTTTTTAACTTAAAATAGATATGAGAAGGTAGAATTTTACTTACCATATCTGTTTCTTCTATTTCTGCATTGATAATTGGAATTAAATGTTCTTTGGCTAGGTCTTGGGTTGGGTAGTATTGAGGTGACAAGATAGATGATATTGGAGATGTTACTATTATTAGTCCTGAAGGTGGTGGTGGTATTGGTTATGGTGGTGGTACTATCGTTAGTCTTGGGGGTGGTAGCATCATTAGTCTTGGGGGTGGTGACATTGTTAGTCTTGGGGGTGGTATCTTTAGTACTCATTTCACAGTTCTAAATAAAAAATATAGTAAGTAAAATTCGTTTTCATAGTCACTATTAAACAAAATGACATTACTTTAAAAATAAATTATAATCAGGTAAAAAAATTATATATAAGCAAAATAACCCACCTATAAGAAGCAGTAAAATCACTTATTTTTATACCAACTATTCACTAGATCTAAAAAACTTGCTAGTTATATAATTAGTAATTTGCATTACTCTAATACTGTCAGATCACACTTAACAAAGCAACTCCGTTTCGGTTGTAAAGCCCAAATACTAAATATATTTTAGCATCCTTTTAGAAACATAGACCTTTTAGATTCAACGCTTGCTACTACCAAGTGAAAAAGTCAATAATCTTGGCAATTTAGGAATTCCAAGTTCTTGCGACATATGAATTTTGATAAAACTACTGATTAAGAACATCATAAGCTTTTCTCTTATAGCCTTTCTAGGTTCTATTTGAGCTTATTCTTATTGCTAGATCATATATAACAAGAAAACAGTTCTAGTTGTGGCTAGCATTAATAAAAAATTGACTGTGAGAAATAATTCTGCAGGAAAGTATCACAAAACCTTAATGTACCCAATTTTGTGTGATATATGCAATATGAACTTTATTTATTGCTTAATGTTAATTTATCTTTCAAATTTATACGTAGTTATGTCTCCTGAAATAAGGATGCTTCGTATCTAAAATAATGCACATATTTGTTTCTTGAATATCTAAATCCAGAAATCTGATTTTTTTTTCATCTTATATATGTAATTATTATAGCGCCAATATCAGAAACAGCCTGTTAAAACTAATATATTGATGAGCAAGTTATGATCAGGAATATCATCATGATAGTACCAAATCAACCTTAGCCACATACAGTATAATGTGTCAATTGTAACGGTAAATCAAATATTACACTAAAAATTTGTTTATTCTCAAAACTGATTCTGAATCTATACTTGCTGACAAAACCTGGACAAATTTCAAATAATAAAAAAACAATTGCTATTTATAAAATGTTAAATCAAATAAATAATTTTAATATATTGTAAATATATTATTTATAACTATATTAATATATACAATTTGTTTAAATAAAGATTATTAATAAAGTTTTTAAGATATTAGCTTTGCTAGAATTTGGGATTTGGGATGACGGACAAATCCCAAACTATTGTAAGTCAGGATTTTGCCAACATGTATATCTAAACTATGCTTAATCTTAAAAGTGTTTGAATCATCTAATCGAATCAATTAATCAAGTTTACTTATAAATTTATATTCTTCGCCTTTTCTTATCGCAGAAGAGTGTTACAAAATTTTATATCTAATTTTGTGTGACTTGTTATTGTCTGTACTATGCTAATATAACAATATTCATTAGGATAAAATCATCATAATACTAGCTTAAATAGCAACACTCAGGGGATTCTGCTTATACAAATTGACCCTTAATCATCCACTTATACTTACCACAAAGCTAACAATATTCAAAGAATCATGAGGCTAGTCACGCCACATGATGTATCCACCTCACTATATAGCTATAACTTTTTTTCTAATACCCTTTGTATATTTGATTGATATTCAACTATTACAATATTTGACATAAAAATGAATCGTATATTATTTAATTATAGGTCTGTAAAATCATATAGTATATAATCTGCTATAATTCGTTATAAATTGCTATAAATCGTTAAATTATTATAATCACTAACTATGTCAGGTTTTGATATCTCTATTATTCTTGATAAAAAAGATCAAACATTAACTTAGAATATCAAGAAACTGCTCAAATACTAATGTAGAGTTATTTTATCAAGGCAAGAAAATGTTTTTTATATATATAAATTTCACTTAAACATATCATATGTGAAAACAAAAGCTTTTATATTTACAACAATAAGTTTTTCTTAATTTGCAAGTTGTTTAAACCGCGCCAGTCATTAGACCCAAAAGGTTTTCCAAGATTATATTTTGGCTTTATTATGTCAGTGAGTTCCTTCTTATCATTTTATCATATGATTTTTTATCTTCAATTCTGTAATTTTATGCGCATTAATTTGTAAATTGCTTAATCTATGCTATCACCTTATAACCAAAAATAGATGCTTTGCATTATTATTTACTTTTTGAAATGGCTTTGATATATTAATTTGTATCATTTCTCTTTTTTATCTTTCATTTCCTTTACGTACGATTTCCATCA